TTATAAATAAAATGTCTACCATGTTAAATTATTATGAAAATTGTGATAAACTTTTAGAGAATATACAACAAGAATATAAAATTAAATTACTTCATATGTTTGACGACCATATCGGACATAACATACTATTTGTGACATTTGATGATATGGTGTATGGCTTGGGATCTAATAGTGAGGGTCAGCTCGGGTTAGGACACAACAAACCCGTCGAAAAACCGGTAGAAGTGTCACAATTATGCCATAAAAACATACATCAGTTTATCAATGGATCGGACTTTGTATTAGCTGTCAATACGGATAATAATGTGATATTCAGTTTTGGTTGCAATGATTGGAGACAACTGGGACGGGATGTGGATAGGGATGGCTATCATAAACCAGACACAGTTATCGTGTCCACAATTGGCTTAATTATATCACAGATAAGTTGTGGTAAACAACACACAATTGTGTTGACAACATGTGGCCAGTTATTGGGATGGGGTTGTAATAGGTCTCAACAAATTGATTGTGACCAAGCTAGATTTCATTTACGCTCGCATTGTATTGCAATACCCTTTGAATACAAAATTAGTAAAATTATGTGCTCTAATGGGGCATCAGTTGCCATTAGCTGTGATGGACAGGTAGTTATGTGGGGAACGATATGCGATAATACATTGAATGGACCAAGATTATTGGATAATGTAACTAATATACATGGTGTTTATTTAGATGAGCACATGGGCTATAATACGATATATTTGTTATCAAATCATAATATTATATATATTTATAATCTTGAAAATAAATGTATGAAAAAATTAACGGATATTATGTTCAGTGAAGTCAAAGAAATATTTTCATTTAAAAATTGCAAATCAAAGGTACTGGCTAAATCGGGTGATAAAATATATGAATTGTATCAGGAACAACTATTGGAAACTAATTACACATCATTTAATGAACTCTCTTCATATGAATTACATATGATTTTCAATACAATTTCAACGCATAATCCACGCAATACTGGTCAACACGTTTGAGTGAAAGCGCAGATATTTGCCGTAAATTTTGAATTTATGTTTTTGTAACAAAAAATAACTTTTAATATATTCATAGAAACAAACAACATATCAAATAATTTCACGTTTAAAAATTCATTTGATGTGATAACTAAGCTTGGTGAGGGTGGCTATGGACAGGTGTATAAAGTTCAAAACAAATGCGATGAACAATATTATGCACTAAAGATATGTCCATTAAAAGGTAAGCTATTAATTAGTTGATTATATAAAAATTATAATAATAACTATTTTAAAGGATTGACAGAAAAAGAGAAACAAAATGTTTTGAAAGAAACGCAGTCTTGTGAAAATTCGGTCAGAGTTTGTCATTGAATACAACTATTCATGGATTGAATGCAATTGTCTTTACTTTCAAATGGAGTTCTGTATCGATAATCTCAACAATGTTTTGCAAACTAAGAAAACATTGTTTAATGAATTGATGACTATTTCGGAGTTTTATATATCGTATCAAATATTTCATGAACTCACAGAATGTGTACAATATTTGCACGAAAAGCATATCATTCATAGAGACCTCAAACCGGATAATGTGTTGATTACAGACGACGGGTATATTAAGTTATGTGACTTTGGTTTGGCTAAAGAGGTCGATAGTATTGATTGGTATCGTATGTCTAAAAATAATCATACAGGAGATGTTGGGACCCCCTGTATATATCAAGCACCGGAAGCACAGATTAATGATTACAATCATAAGATAGATATCTACAGTCTATCCCTAATTGTGGCTCAAATTTTTGGTTTTGATATCAACGATATAATGGACGGAAAGTATGCTTTTTAATAACTATTTTTTTGAATACAGTTTACTTTAATCGCACGAAATTTTTTAAAATTTTAATTTTAGGATTAATTTAATTGAAAAATCAAATAAACCTATTAATGAGTGGATGCATAAAATAAATGCATTATTGGTGTCAATGGCTGTCAATAAGTATCGCAAAAACGGTTCAACAGATTGGAGGCAAAGACCCGATTGTTCGCACATTTTATCACAATTGAAGACATTTATCAAACATCCGCTCACTATTGGAGTCAAAGAATTCAAATTATATTTTGATACTATTGTCGAACGACAAGGTCATATATTTTACAATTTCCTCATGGACAATCATCCCATTTTTATAATACGAATGCCTATTGAAAACATATCTAACGGTTAGGCATGTCTATTAATTTATTATTATGTTTGATTATTTTAATTACAATATTATATTTGTATAATTGCTTAGAAATGGATGCAATAAATGACATCAAGTTTAAAGAGATTGACAGACAGACTGCAGAAATAGGATATGATATAAATTCCGTGGAAAATATAAATTCACAAAAAATGTATTCACTTTTACAACTTGATATTCATTTCATGGGTTAGTATTACTTTAAATAATTTATTTAAAAACACAAAAATATTTTGTCATTCAAATAGTTTTGACAATATTTATAATTTATTTCACTATTATAGGCGATATGATGAAAATGCATGAACTAGTCGTTGACATCCGAAAGTTACTTGATATGAACTTGGTGCAATATTACTGGGCATGGATTGAGCATAAAAGTGTAGCATTTCAAATGGAGCATTTGTGTCAGGATAAACTAGACATTTTTATTTCCGAAAACAATACTAATCTCAAAAATATGACAAAACTCAAGCAACAAAACCTAGTATATTCAACTTTTAAATCACATTTCTGTGTAAATTGACCAGGAACAAATGTAATTACAGTCAGTTATTAACAAATTAAATGTCAATATGATGTTTTTATTTTGTTTATTTATAAATGAAAATACTTTACTTTATAAAGATTATGAAATATACGGTATAAACTTTTAATAAACAATAGCTTAACAATAATTATGTAATTTGCTTAATATCAAATGTTTTAAGTGGTGTTATACTAGTATTTCCTATTAATAGTGCTATACTACAGTCCTGTTAATTCATAAATTAATTTCAAATTTTAAAACTTGTGTTTAGACAATGTGTTGGAATTAATTTGCAATAATCTGGATTAATTGGATAAGTATTAAGCTCATTATTTACCCCAAGTATATTGCATAATTAACCAACATAATTACCTTTATAATTTAAAAATTACAGCTTAAACATATCTTGTAATATAAAACTAACCATGTGACATTATTACTGAATACGTAACATACATGTATGAAACATTTAATGTAACATTTAATTTAATTGAATGTAATGAAACATTGCTTATAATTTTCTAGTATTAATATAAACTAAAATGAAATCTAAACTGTAATATGAGCATTTATGTTTCACTAAATACTGAGTTGGCTAATGTTTGGGCGTCAGGTTTGGTTTCAAATATTTGTATAAAGTTGCCCCCTGCCCCCCTTAACCTTTCGGTACATAGCAATTTTACATGAGACCATGCACAATTGTATGCCCCCTCCCCCATGTCTGGGCGCTCGTATTTTGTGAATTGCTCCTAATTTCTATGTTTCCGTTAAACAAGTTTATAATATAAATAAATTTAGTATAAATATTGATCAAATGTATTACCAGTATCCTTCACTATCTCGTACTCTCCTCACTCGCACCCTCGTTCTCTCTCTCTCCCTCTCTCTCTCTCCCTCTCTCTCTCTCTCCCTCTAGCAGATTCTCTACAGTAATGTTCATACACTGCTTAATACGTGAAAGTATAAACTTTTAACACAATAGTAGTGTATTTTTTATGACATCTATATATGAAAAATTTACGATTATTTGCCAAACAATGTATTTTTCTAATACAGAGTATGAAATTATTACCAAAAATCTTATTTCACTTCTATTTATAGCGAATTTAATAATTCTTTTATAGAAACGGATTCTTTTAGAAAAATAAAACTTTCATTAGTGTTGAGACGAAAAATTGTGAATCATATGAAAACATTTTTTAATATATAAGTCGTTCAACGATTACACAATACGACTAAAACATGGCATTCAGAGGCAATAATGTTTTGGTACAAAATTGCTGTTACAATAAGAATATTCTCTCTCTCTCTCTCTCTCTCTCTCT